GCGTCTTATATGCCGGAGCGTCTTATATGGCGAAAAATACGGGTAGTTGGGACTGCTAGAAAGACATTGCCATAATCTCCTTGGTGAAGTTTGTAATTGTTGTCAGTAATATAAATTCAGCAAAAAGATTAGATCAGCCCCTGACATTCTTCCCTCGGATAAATTTGTTGAAGTGATTGACAAATGTGCAAGAGCTGTTGAAGATTAGTTCAGAGATGTAGCAGCCAGTATTTTATGGCTGAGCTTGACAGTTAACAATAATTTCCATTAGCCAGCAGATACTAAACATGTATCTGATCATAACCAAGATGTATTTCTTGTTCCTTTGAACAAGTGCAGCCTTACCCCCAGCAGGTCAGTCTGCATATACACACTGTCCAGCATGAAAGATTGCTAGGTAAATGGGAGCACTCTCTCTTGACTTTTTTTTCTCCTGAGAAATTAAACCATGTCCCCCAAATGTCTTGAAAGGAGTGGTACAGTTCTTAGTTGAGGGATTTGCAGAGAGCAAATCTGGATGTTGAATACAGTTAGAGAGAAAAACAAACCTGCCAACAAGAGCAGCACAGAAAGGCACATGGGAAAGGAATTTCAACATGGCACATCTAGCCCTTTATCAGTCAGACTGGAGGTATGGCAAGGTTAGCAGTAGCTGATCTAACAACCTTCTCATTTATGGCTGAGCTTGACATCTCATTTATGGAAACTGATGGGGGTGGTGTTTGTGTGTGTGTGAACATATGTAAAAGATCATCAAAGCATACCTACTGCTTGCTGGAGGCTGCTTATCAGAATCATTCATTGATGCTGTGGTAACAATGGTATTGATTATAATTATTGACTGATAAAGGGGTAGATGTGCCATGTTGAAATTCCTTTCCCATGTGCCTTTCTGTTCTGCTCTTGTTGGCAGGTTTATTTTTCTCTCTAACTGTATTCAACATCCAGATTTGCTCTCTGCAAATCCCTGCAAATATATATAATGAGAGATTCCAGGGACTCAACATTGACTGAATTTGCCTTACTAAATGACTTACCTGTTTTATTTTTCTCCGCACCACCACCTTGCAGATTGGAAAATTCAAGAGGTTTTACGGATTTGCTTTTTCTTCTGTGATGACTTTTATGCAAAAAGTATACACAGCATTTACCAATTTCTGTGAAGTAATTCAGTGTCTTGTTTTTAAAATAAATATCTTCTACAGCCATGATCAGTCTTACATCAACTTAAAATTCTGAAACATTCTGCTTCCAGCATACAGCATACAAATCTGTGTTGCACAATCTCCAGCTTTAATTAGTAGTGGATTTTATGAGTTTGATTGATTTCAGTAGGCCAGGAGTGGACAATTAGATAATTAGATAATTCCAGTAGGTTTGGAGTGGAAGGCTAGGGGGCTGTATTAACCCCTCCCCCAAAGAAATCATATTGTTTTATCCCAAAATGTCCTCTAAAACCCTCTAGGAGACATGGGAGCATTCCCACCATTTTTAA